TCGCGTACCCATTGAATGGGTGAGCGTCGTTTAGATCTGTGGATTTGAGTGGTTAGACTTAACCATAGCCCAAACGTCACAACAACATACTATCGGAGTGGTCGATTTTACCAGATTGCTTGAATCTAACCTCTAAGTCTGTAATCAATAAAGGCCTATAACGAGGAGAAGGGACCAGCTCTTCATTTCTGAACGACCGGGTAAGGATTCAACGGCATAGTTTTTGGTGGATTTCAAGACAAGGAAATCAAGAGATTGCAACGATCCGAATCATATACAGCGGTGAGATCTAGCCATCTTCGAACGCATCTGTCCGGGCGGAGCTAAGCGCCACACCGAAACATCAGCTGAAGAAACGGGGACCAATCCTTCATAGTGGAGTGAAGCTGGAGTCAGGAGCATCGAAGCACAACCACGTGCCGCATAAAAGCATGTTTCAGATTGTGGCTGTAAGAGCATTCACCATGCCAAAGCCAGCTCTACAGGTGCTTCTAGCATCACCAGGAAACATGCCATCTTACCCTGCACACAATTGTCTTCTCCAATTTCATGAAGCTCGTCAGAGCTTGCCTCCCTCCCAGTCCACCCAGCCCTTTTGCTTTGAGGGGGCTCGCAATTGCGCAGCTGATGGCCGCAGCCTTCCCTGATGGCTCGAACCGTTGCGGGCGGACGCTGCAGCTAGAAGCCGCCATGTTCCAAACCACAGTTCTGACTCTGTTCGAAAGCCGTTGCAGAATCAGAAGCGAATAATCTTTCGAAGCACAATCCTAGCCTGGAAATGCACCGACTTTCTACGTCTCAAAAGAAGCTCAGATCATTTGCTTTAGCTAGCTTCAAGCTTGTGGCGGCTCTCCGTGTTCCTCGAAACTATTCCATCTGCACAGATTCCGTTGAAGCACGTTGCTGCCGTGCAAGCATGCCATGCAAAGCCCAACATAGCTAAGGTAGAAATGTCCGGCATGCATTTACTGGAATCAGCAACACCTCTTTGTTCCTAGCGCGCAGGGCCGGTTCTTGACCCGTCAAAGACTCAAAGTGCGGATGTGGTCTGGATTCTTTATGCAATTTACTGATCTATGCAGGCTGACGGTTTCGATCACGGAATGCGAAACACAAGAACCGCTTGTGCATTCGTGTGCGAAGCTGACTCACAGCACGGGTTGGCACCCACGGACCGGAACGACTCCGGTTCGGCTCCGGTTCCTGCCTCAAAGCCGATCCCGACTTTGCAACCGGGACCCAGCTCCGGTTTGACAGCGAACCGGTTCCGCTTCACAGACTTGCGCCTTTTCAGAGTCCGGTTTGCGCAAACCATACTCTTGCTACGCCCGGTTCGTGAGCATGGGCCTCGACCCGGAGTAGATTCAAGCAAACCGCGCTTGAAAACGACAGGGACCAGGTAAAAGTTGCGCAATTGGCTTTGCAGAAGTAGGTCCTGGACCCGCACAAGTCAAAAGCAAGATGTTCTCAAGAAATTACAGGCCTGGTTTTAACGCACCACCTACTCTTGGAATTGGCAACATCGATTGTGGTATAGTCAGGATGCATCTTATAGGTCTACTCCCTATCCGTCGGTGAGCTCCAGCTATTTTTGCTGCTGATTGCTGATAACGCTAACTCGAGGCTTCCTGGGACGACCTCCGAACAACTGTAAAGTTCGTGGAACTTGCAAGGGACGTGCATGAGGTCGGCTCTTCGCTCGGGGCCGGGAAAGAAGTCAACCGCTGCAAGAAGGAGAAGTGGGAATTACATACTCGATCAGAGTAGGTGAAGATGGAAAAAAAAAGAGACGCAGACGCAAACGTACAGATCCTCGTAGTGCTTCGACGTTGTTTCGTGTCAGAATGGCGGCCTTTTTCAAAGTACAAAATTTTCCCAAAAAAGTAGACGGTTGAACAGGACGTCAGAAGTAGACCCAGAGTCGATCTAGGGCGGTAGCACGGTTAGGTCCGCTAGAATCTGTTTTCAGAACAGTTGTTGAAGTTTGAAGCACCATAACTTGAGCAATTCTTGGCTAAAAGTAGTGAAACAAAGTTCAAATGTGTACTACGAAAATCGAACTTGTGACTTCCCGCACCGGACCGGGCCCATGCTGACGTCATTACCGGGCGCTGCGAAGACTGCCCTGATGGTCCAATTCCAGAGCGTCTTTTTCCAGAAATACATGCATATAATTGCCAATAACTTTCTCGTTACTTGGCCGTTTGTCCGGAAATTGGGCTCTTTTGGAAGGCTACGATCAGTCTTGCAATGTTGACCGCTCCCAAATAAATTCCATCGACGACGTCACCGGAAACGCCGTCATAAAGTTGTGCCTCTGGCAATTTAAACATGTACCCAATTGCACCAATTTCATAACCGGGCAAAACCCATTTTGATCCATCTTAGATGTTGTGGGGGTCCCCAAGGGGTGCCCCGAGTTCTCCCATACCTCAGATTTCAAAAGTACCCAAGAAATCGTGAGTAACCGGGGGTGCCCTAAGCACCATTTTTATCTCAGTTAATTTTGAAAACCTTGGAATTTGTGTTTCGACCTGGACACTTCAAACTCAAAATCCGAACAGCTAGGCTGGTCGGTCTGGTTATGAGCAATTTTTATAGCCCTCATATGCATTTTTTGGATAAGTATCGGCTGACTTATGAAAGGTGCCCTCCGTGAAAACGTCCATATTTCACCGCGCACAGTGAGAACTGCGGAATTTAAATTGAATTTACGGTTAAATCGCCCGTAGCGCGACCGTAGAAAATTGGTATCGAACTTTCGATATCGAATTGCCGTGTTCCGGATCGCCGAAAAATGGCCGACCTAACCGTGCTACCGCCCTCAGATAGGCTGGTTTGCAAGGTTCCTAAACCGGGCAGGGCTAACGGAACGAAAGAAGCTAGTTCTGTTGACATGCTGATCCCATGCGAAATCTGGAGGAATACAGAGTAACACCAGATAAGACGCACGCTTCGATTCAATCGACCTCGACACTTCTGACGGAAAACCGGAGCAAGTGATGGACACTTTGCACGGAGCGCATGCTTCGCTTCACGTACCAGGATACACGTAAGTTCCTTCCAAGTCTATTTTCAAACCAATTTGAAGCATACATCATAGGACTAGCTATAATGTATCTAAACTCTTTTAGAAATGTACTCACCAATTAGGCAGAGCCACATGGCACTATGAGACGTTAGAAGCGCGCCCCGCATCTCGGCCAATGGCGCATTCGGGCACACGCGCTATGTGTCCAGTTTCACAGCGCCACCAGATCACATGGCCCACACGGTGCGCATCCGGGTGTACGTTACCGAAAGGTTTTGAGAAGCATGTCGTTCCTGCAATTGTGAAGTTGAATGGATAAAAAGGACCGTTGGGAAGCTTCGAAGGATTCAATCGTGGAATAGAAACAGTCCATTTTGCCATTCCTTCTTGCGTGATATTTTCAGTAACCTTCTGGAGCGACGACCACAACATGCCCCATACAGGAAGGTACGAGCAAGCGCGATGCGACTCTGCATGATTCTTCGACAAAGCACGGGGCAGAATTGGCCCGAAAAGATGACCGACGGAGTTGTCAGCATGTTCAAACCTGAATCGCGATTCAGAAGTTCCGACATGGGCTTCAGAATTTGGATGGTACGGAGTCAGGTTGCCAACAAAATCTTTCAGGCTGTGGGTGAAATGAGGACATTGAAAATTTACCTCCGACGGAATTGAGGGCAGATAATGGATTTCCGAAAGAAGAAGATAATTGTATTTGGCCTCGTGGCCTCAGAACTTAGAAATACCCAAAGTCTGCTTATCACAGACGGTGGATCGCAGATTCCAAAGGGCAGCGTGACAAATACATCAGTCAAAAACTCTCAATCCAGAGTATACATCTCTCCTCAAGTCCATGTAGCAACTTACAGTGTACTTACATGTACAGCGCAAATCGATCGGACCTCGCGGTCGCCTCGTTCCTTCCAGCACCGTCCGACTTGCGCTTGTTGGTGCCCCGAACCTGGCCGCCGCCGCATAACCCGCGCTCCCCCCCCCTTAAATCGCGGATCTCTAATTTAATCGGTCACAAACGTTAACTTCGTCATCTGACGCCTTTCCGGGCGACGTTCCGTCGGAAGTAGAGACAACAGTACGCGGGTTAGCGCTCTCCAAAAGGGCGGCCTTGTAAACCGGATTGACCCTCTACCCTGCAGGTCTGCCTTAACCCGGACTTGAGACGTGGTTAGCGAGCTCCCCTGGCTTGGTCTGCCTAAACTGCAGCCCAAGATGAGAAGCGACTCCGGCCGGATTCGCAAACGATGCTTCGGCTGCTCAAAACAACCCGGGGACTTGGTACCGTGCATCTACATCCACCCCGGTTGAAGTGGCTCAAGCGTTCCATTCCCCCACTTGACTCCCTTGCTCGCTAAAACCGTCGGTACGCGCATTTTTATTACAGATTGTCCAGAACCGACGGCGGCAGAGGGGGGTCCCCCGCGGCTTTCGCTGGTGGACTGATTGCACGCATTACGTCAGCACTCCAGCCCCACGTGCGCCCTAGCAATCCCTCGCACCCGCGTGACTGGCTGCTTCCAAACCCTGCTACGAAGGTTTCCGCGAGCTTTTGTTGATTTTCGGGTCGCCAGACAACGGTGACGTTATCCAAGGGATTTTGCGCAAAGGTGACGGCAGCTTGGCGGCAGGAGGCGGTTGGACGTCAGCAGCGCGGCCGCGGCGTGAGCGGCCACGAGGTTTGACATAGGTCGCGACTTGCAGATACGAGGCAGCGCCGAGCGCGCCGCTGGGCGGTTTCTCCGCCGGTAGATGCTCACTGCAGAGGTGACATCAATATGAGCGATGGGTCAATTTTATGTAGCTGCTGGAGCAGGAAGCCGCATGTCGGTTTGGAGGGGGGAGGGTTTTGGTGAGGCTAGAGACGGCCGGAGCAATGTGGCCGGTTGTGTAAGGGTGCTAAGGCCAAAATTCCGCTAGGAGAAGAGGAGTGACATCTAGAACGAGGCGCAGAGAACGCGTTCAAAGAGTTCGCCGAAATCCGGCAGTCTCAAGTTTATCGTAGGCACCGATCTCCAAAACAGCCAAACAGGTATTTAGAAGAGCTTGAATGGGCTGATGCTGAAGAACTCAAATGCGCTCTTTCTTTTCTTCTTTTTTGCATTCAACCCTGAAGTCTGGTTTTGGTTTCCTAAAGTCCATTAGAGTGGACAGGTTTTAAAAGTATGGATGATCACAGAACGAAGACGTACATACAGATACACGTGCGTCGCCAAGTTCCAATATCCCCACATTGAGCAGGCATTTGACGAAACATAATGAAATCACAGTTCGTAAGATAAGAGAGCCGCCATTAATCGACGCCCACCAGCATGTGCCTTGCCAGGAGGCCCTGCTCTGATGCGGCCCCGCAACAGCAGCGGCTCGTCGCCAGCCTTCGCGCCGGGCGCCTCGCAACAAAACAAAGTATGACCATCTGGGATAAGTTCGGGGCTCCCGGAACGTAGACCAAGCTAAGTGTAAGAAGAGAAAAGGAGCAACGCAGTTTTATGGTCACAGATTGTGAGGCGACAACTCGTCAATGCAGGTCCAGCTCCTCTGAGACACGCAACACTATCCAGCCGAAGATTGTCCGTTTCGTTTCCGCCGCGTTCCGCCGCACGGAAATACTCGACAGACTCGTGATACGACTACAATAATGAGCGCATAAATGCTCAAATAGGGAACTTTGAAAAGACACGTCGCAGTGTCGAGGTTGAACAGTCGGCCAGATCCGGAACGTCGAAACCTTGTACTAATTCTAATTAGACGAAGAGCCAAATTCACGCAGTGAAGAGCGTGCAATCAGGTGCTTAAGGCCGACATGGCTAGCATGATGGACAACGACTGCAATCAGACCATTTACTGAGAGCTACTGGAGGGCCAAAAGATGTCCTGTTGACTTTTGAATCAGCTGCCACTAGCTTTAACTGCAATCTCCGCAGCGTTCCTGCTTGGATATTCTGCAATAAGGACACCGTATGAGATTGTTGCGTGAAATCCAATCTTCTTTCCTCACCCTTGCAAGCTAGGCGCCCCCGCCCCGCACGCGTGCCCGTTTGCTTGCTGCTCGCCAGGTCCACCAGGTGCAGCCGCTCGCAGCACACGCCACCGCCGCCCTCGGTGCTTCCTGGCACCGTCATGATGACGTCAGTGAGGGAGCACGAGGAGCGAGCGTTTCTGCCGCTCGTACCTCAATACGGGAGCGCAGCCGACGGTGAGGAGCGCCTAGGGCTTGAGAACGTCCGAAACGGGAATGAGTGTCGCTTGTTCCTTTGAGTCTCGTCGGCGATGGCCTGATTGCGTTGCTTTTCACGCAAACCTGCGGACGAAAAGGGCTGAATACTCGTCAAGCTTCGACAGGAAGACATTTGAATCGCTGAGCATGACCACGGCGATGACACACCTGGTCTTCTTTGGCCAGAATCTCGAGGACCACAGGGGACTTGCTCTAAGAGGATAATGTCTCTGAGAGCCTCAGATAGGTCGTCGTTTGATCATTCAAAACGGCAATCCTTCCAAAGCTGGCCTTTTGCTCTCAAAGAGTTATACGAAGGGCGCCGGAAGGCGACTGCAGGATTGTCGAAGGTGTCCATTCAAAGGGGGAAAATCACATCAAACGACTTTTCGGACCGGAAACATGAACTCGACTTGAACATGAGAACATGAACTCGTTTTCTAGCCGCTGATCTGGTAAGGCACAATGGCTTTCTCTTGGAGCAGCACCTGGACAAACTCAACACTTGGCTTGAAGGCCAGCAAAGTGCCCGGTCGCAAGGGCCCTACAAGCCGGGCGTATGTGACCATAACAAAAAGCTGCCAGACTGAGACTAGAGCCCTGAGGAACGGAGCTGGAAACTGTCCCGCCTTCACAGCCTACCGCTCAAAGAACAAAGCGCAAGATGCTGATCTACCAAACAGCTAAAAGTCGAGAAAGTTTTCCATCGTGAGATTCTCAAATATAGGCGCGCGAAAGTGCGATCGAAGTTCGGAACTAGATACTTGGGCATCTCATCAAACGTATCAGCAAAGCAAAGGTTGCAATCTGTATGCCAACGAGGCTGGTTGATGTCAATCGAGTGACAATCAACACATACAAGACTGCTGCGATTCGATTATACCGTCTGAAGCAACAGTAAAGTTGTTTTCGCAACGAGTGGAAACATTACTCCTGACGAGTTCCGCCAAGAACCAAGGGCCAGAGAATGTGCCCACCTCAGCTCCGGCCTTGGCGTCTTGAGGATGCCTTGGTTTGTATCAAGGTGCGTAACAACGAGCTCGCCGGGGAAGGCCCCACTGCTTCTACCCAACCAAGTGCCCGCATTAGAGGAGGGTTATGAGTCCAGCTCTTCTAATCACCAGCGTCGCCACTCCGCTCCAGGACCCCTATTCGAGCACCGTCCCTTGGCTGCAACAGGACAGGGGAGAAGTCTTAGTCAGCACAGAATAGGAAACTTAGACTACAAGAAACAAAACAAAACTGAGGAGAATTCTGTTTGGAGACATGCGCAAATCTAGGCATTCAACAATTAATGAAATCCTTTGAACACTGATGAATGCAATGTAATGTGAGATGAATCTCTGAGGGCACTGCAAAAGGTCAGAGCAAATTTTCAAAAGTATCGAACGCACCAAACCAATGCAATTGCCATTAGTGCAATGTAGCTGAAAATCTTAAGCAAAGAAGGCGGCCTGAGATGAGGCTGGCAAATCTGAGCTCTTTTAACAGATGCGAAGTGGCCTCCTTAGGTCTGAAAGCTGGTACACATCCTTTGATGGAGGTTGTTTTCAGGCAATTGCTGAGGAGAAGTGGTTCCCTCATAAGCAGAAATAAGACATGCCACCTCATCAAGACAATTGTGAAAGTGCCCTCGGATTTGCAAGGGCAAAACTTACCCGTGGGAAATATCAAATGCACCATGATGAAATGCACCATGATGAAACAATATGTTTCACAAAGAGAGTCAAATACGCATGTGAAAGACTTGGACAGTAGCTCCAAACATATGACATGCTTTCTTTAACCAGACTCTTTGACCTTCTTGGCCCCTGTGATTTGAGTGAGACATTACATCTGACAAGCTCTTTTAAGTAGGAATTTGACTATGATCCATAGATTTCAATTAGCCAGTGCTTACTTGAGACCTAGCTTTTGGTACTGAACAACAAGGCGTCAGTCATCCATAAGAAAAACTCTGTTCAGAGCCTGAAGCTGGAAGGCAAATACTGACTTGAGACACAGTCGCCTCAATCACTGTTTGGTTGGCAAGGGTGGTCTTCACTGGTGCAGCACCTGCACCAGCATTAATTTCATGTAGCATCGCACGCTGCCACTGATCAGATGGCATGATATTCTAGGTGCAAGTACCTTAGATGCTGAAAAGATGAAGCAGATCCCAATGAAGATTGCGAGCAATGCCATAAAGATGTGAAGGACTCACCTCAGCATGCATCTAAAGAGACCCGCCTCGTTGCCTGCTGCACGTTGATCACCTGATCTTCTGGAACCTCACTGATAACCACTGCTCATAGCTTGCGCCGGTGTGGTTGATCTCCAAGTTGGAGTCAACACCGTGCCGCATGCATTCTCTGCTTCTAACACGCCTAACAAAGCTATCACGAAATGCTGAGCAATCTATCATTGAAATAACTTCTCAGCCGGCAAGCTTTGAGGCTCAGTAGCTGTCTTTGCCCCACATCTTTAAGTGCAAGCTGTAAAATTACTCAGAGGTGCAAGTGCGCAGTACAGAAGTGAGAGTGCAAGGGCGCACCAAGAAGCAAGATTGTTTCAGAGCCTCAGAGAGCTTTGATTGAACAGATGACTTCTGAAGTCAAATGCTTTCTGCCTTTGGATTGTAGTAAGGATCTGTGCACCTTAAACCAACAAACAACGGTCGAGCTGGTGGCCTGGGCTGGTGGATTAGGGTTGGACACTTCAGGTAACCCATTGGGTCGCCCAAACCCACAGCGTTACTTCCAATTCAGCTGTAATTTCAAGGGCGTCAAACAGTTGTTCCTAGCAGCTAGGGGACCGTAACGATCATTCCAGTCAGCATCATAACCAAGTCTGAAATGTGTGCTTCACGAAACAGGACGGGTCTCCGAAACCTGCCGGGTGACGTGTCCCGGCTTCAGAACCGTCGATAAAGTTTCATCGACTTTTTGGTATGTGCGCGTGTCTCAGTAGCTAGGAAGGTAGTTGAACTTCGGGGGCAAGTTTCATATGTTGCAACCGAAGGAGAGCTTTAGTATAATGCGAGTTCGCTACAGATCATAAGATATAAGATTCGTCAATTGAGCCGATCACGGCTTCGAACCGAACTTAAAAACATTAAACATTACATGGATACAAGGTACAACTCATCATTATTATACTATTGTAGCTAGTGGAGTCATGCTCGATCGAGTACGTCTAGAGCTCTACGACGATCTCGTTGAGTTATTGGAGCTTTTGATTGAAGTTGGTATATGTTGGTAATTGCTTATGTACGGTATAGTTGACAATTCGAAGCTATGGTTTTTGAGCACCATCATGTTGTCATGAGCCACTTTGAGAAGACGGGGCATGAAAGGAGCATGAACGGGTGCTCAGTGTGCCATCTAGCTCGTTGTTCCATCCAACTAGCAGTCTCGAAAACATCGTATACCGTACATGATGCACTTTGGTTCAATACTGTCATTGTTGTCTTACCTTGAACAAAGCTTCGTATGCATATAGTATGCATGGGCCGCGCTTGTATCCACACTGCGTATACCGCGCTACATGAGATAGTCCGTTGGATCTCAGTGCCATGAATTGAACCGCCATGCTTGGTTTGCAATGGTTCGGTTCATGCCAGCATTTGGCTCATTCGCCTTCGGCTGGCCAGGTGAAAGGCAGCCGCACGGTATTGCGCGCGCTGGCCGAACATTGCTGAGTGCCAGAAAAATACTGTTGATCAAAGCTTCCGTTGGTATTTTGTGGCCAACAATCCAAGTGCGATGCATTAAGACACTGGTTCACTAGCAAAGGAGGAAGTATTCTTGGCGGACACCCATTGCCTGGGTAGATTACACGACTAAAACGAGAAGGCAAGCTAATGCCAGAGTCTTTGGGTGAATATGAGCTGTACAGGAGATGCATAAGTCCGCCCACAGTGACTTTTCCTGCTGACGGAGGCAGCTTGAAGATGGACAAGCGACTGTTGTTGCGAAAGATCGCTGCTTAAAAGATGAACCAGCGGCGACTTTTGTTGCGAAAGATCACTGCTTAAAAGATGAACCAGCGGCGCCTTCTCCTCTGCAAAACAATACCAACCCGGTTTTAAAAACGCTTTGACGGCGTGATGATGAACATGTCCTTGCACCACTTCCTCCAACATGAGCAGAACATGGTTGGCTCATCAAGGGCGCGTGTGCTGCAATGTCGACGACCTTTGCTATATGCAGAATTGGCAGAAACAGTGGGCCAAAGTCTCAAACATGAGTTGCCATCAGACCCTCTATTTGTGGCTCACTAAGGAATCGACAAAGGACAAGGTCATTTGACTTTCCTCCTTGAACCTCGGGAATCAACTACGCAACACACAACAACTCCTTAAGTCGCCAATGACTTTTATTAACGTCAAGGTGACAAAACTCGTCAACACATGTACACTTAAAACGAGCCAGAACGAATCTTGGTAAGGCGGAAATGAGCGGCCTCGTCGCCGCTGACCTCGCCGCTGAGGGCCTGACCAAGAGGCCCACCGGGGATCTTCAAGGCTGAAGTCAGCAAAGCCTAACCTGTCAGAATGCAACTCAGTCACTGATGTTGTGGGTAGACCCACAACACCAGAGGTCAGACCTGACCTCTGCCAATGTAAAGCTACTCTAAGCACTTACCTGTTCAACCAGCCTTGAGATTTTCTCCAGGTTTGCCAGGACCTTGCTTAGACCCTCCATCGCTTCCTTCGTGTCTAGCTTCACCGTATGTTCCCCTGTACATTATGTCCAATCGCATCTCAGGACAAACACAGAGAACGCTCAGTTTTCCATCAACACACACTCAACAATATCTTGGATGGAAAATCAGAGGAAACTTGAAGTGGCCCTCGACACAACAGGGGTCGAAAGATGGACTTCCAGAGTTTGAAACTTACACTAATCTAAATGGACTCGATTGGGAATACATTCCAACAATCCTACTGAGAAAGCCGAATTAGTGATGCTGTTTCCCACCAAATCCAATGCCCTCTATTCGCACTTGGAAGAAGGATTTTAGGCTGATTCTAAAGGTTTGCTCCAGGGCTTCTGCCATCCAAAGACCAAGTAGGATTCAGTTAACTTTTCAAGTTTCCCTTTCCAACAGCACATACTTACCATCACCTTGGACTACATTGAAGAACGGCGCACCATCACACAGGGTCCCTCAAAAAGGCAGAATGGGGCCAGCGATATGGCGTCTGTGTCCTTTAGACATGTCGTACACTGACGTAGGCAAGTAGCTTGCGAGCAAACAAGCAACAGTGACAGAGAAGGTAGTTGAGAAAGGCAAATCACCATGGATATACTCGTACGATCCTGCAGACACCTTGTCGTCGTTGCTGAAAGCGAGGCTGTCTGAGGCCCTTAGCAGCAGTCCAGGCCCGTATACACTTTCAAGCTGCTGTTGCATGACCTTGGCAGGCAGATCGACAGGAAAGCGCAGCAAGCACGTCCCCACGTTCACCTCTGCCACCTGATGAGACACTCAAACAGCGTGACGCAGAAGAATGTCAAAAGAAGGTTGATTTTGGAACGTTGATCAGACGAGCACTTTGGGTTTTCAAGTCAAGAGACAAGGCACTGGTTGAGCACACAATCTAGGGAGCATTCTCATATATTTTCACAAGAGATGATGGCCTGGTTCCTGGCTGCATCTAACAAAACGACACCACCAATCTCTGACCAAAGTTGAACAGCAAACGGGAGCGCCACGGCAAGCTTCAAGTTCGCTGAGGATCAAGCAAAGAAGTCAGTCCTTCACCTCTGCTTTCCTCGCCGACGCTTCTCCTTCCCGACTGGTGCCCCTTTGACTTTCCCTCACATCCAGCTGCCCCTTCCTATAGTAAAGGAAAGAGGCCTAAGATTTGGGCCTCAGCACCTGGCACCAGAACTATGAATAACCTTTAAGAGAATGAAAGCACTGACCAAGGATGCAAGCACGCGTCTTCTGCAGACCAGAATAGATCAGAGTAAATTACCTAGAAAGACATACAACCTTAAGGAGCCGACAATAAATCTTCTCTATGGCTCTGCATGCCGGCTTTCCAGGCCCTTCGTTTGGACGATGCATGATTTATCATGCAGAAAGTAACAAACAGCTAGTTGGTGCTCCAATCTGAACGCAAGAGGCCATCTCTTTCAATACTACCATAGCTGTCGAAATGCAAAGCTGACGAACGAACCTGACATGGTTTGCAGTTGCCTGAGCAGACCTACTGGATGTATGATTGCACTGCAACCTCTGGAACGTGCTGAAAGCTGGTTGTACCAGCAAGTTATGAGAGAGTGGCTTTGCAATAGCCATATGCACTCTGCTCGTCGATGACTCATTGGCATCGTATTGAAAGGACAGAAGGACTTTATTTGTTGAGCCAACAGTACGACCCAACGTTGCGGCAGCCATTGAGGCCCTTTGCTTAGCAATTCAGAAGCTGGAAGGACGGCCCTGCGCCCAGCCTGCGCCTCTAGGCTGTTACTTTAAGTTCAAGTTTTCTCATGGGGCGCAAGCTTTTGGCACTGCAGAAATGGCTCAGATGCACTTTGCGAGTGTTCCTAGTATTGAAATCTGACGCCAAGGCTGCCTCCACACTGGGGGATACTTGGGGATACTCGAGTACCCGGCTACTTCTCAAGTTTCTCCAAGGAGCCGGGAGCTCATCCGCAGAATGCGGGAGATGAAGTAGCCGCTTCCATACCGGGGGCTACTTTGGACATCGGCTAGTTCCGCCGGTCGCTCTCCGCGTGCCACGTTGACTAAAAGATTCGCGCAATTATTCAAGAAACCGGACTGTCAGTGTTCACACGCGTCCGATTCGACAACTCGACCGTTCTAGTCAAATCTGATTGGCCGATCGCCGAGTAGCCGCCGGCCGGCCGAGTAGCCTACTTCTCGAAGGATACTTGCCGGGCTACTCGTCCACACGTGAGAAGGAGAAGTAGCAGCTGAACATCGCGGAACGCAAAGTAGCCGGGTGAAGTATCCCGCAGTCTGGACGGGCTACTTGCCCGGGATACTCCAGAGGGGGGTACTCGACGACCCAAGTATCCGGCAGTGTGGAGGCAGCCCAATGGCATCGAGGGTGCCGTCACTTTGAAGTGGCACCCCCTTAGGTATTCTGGGGGGGGGGGCGGCTTGGTTCGGATCAGCCAAGCAAAGGTAGGGAGGGGGGGGGCGGCGCTTGAGGCCTTTTGCTTGGGGCGGAGCCCCAGCCAGGTTTCAAGAGAGAAGCATGCATTTTCATGCACAGTTACCCTTATTTTGTTAAACGTTCCGACTTTTCAGCCCGAGAACAAAAAAAAGAAGCACTTTTCAGCACCAAAATCGGGCCGGATTCATGTATATGATGGTGCTTTTTAACCAAAGAATTGCCCGGTTGGTAGCGCACCGGACTGGGACCTTGACCTTGCCAGTGATGACAAGGCCGGGGAGGGGGGGGGCCTTGAGACACTTTTTGGCAAAGTGCCTCCAAAATACCTAACCGGGTGCCACTACAAAGTGACGGTACCCCTTGAAAAGGTACCTATGTCATGCACATGTCGATCAGGCAGAAGCCTTCATCATTCATGCAGAGCCCCTTCAGAGAAAACTTTCCAGTTTCAACCCCAGCCATGCTGAAAAAGAATCCAAGAGCGTTGAATTGGTTTGAATTTGACAAAGAAACAGAAGAGAACTTTAAGACGTGTGCTTCAGATTTCTGATGCGCAATGTCTCTCGCAGCCGTGTCTGACGCAAAACGCAAGCGCCTTGCTGCTTTAGAAGAACGGCAAGCCAAGTCGACGATCTGCAAGGAAGGTTTTCAAATCCAGGAATCGTCCCCAAGTAGAAGACTGATATCAGACAAAATATCAAAAGGTTGGTGTTCAATCAATATTTGTTTATGCTAACCACGTTTGAGATGCATAGAAAGTGTCTGCAAGGTGGTGTTGCAGATGGTGCTGCTTTTGGAATCAAAGACACACTTTGCCATCTACTAATGGGCAATGAAACCTTGCAGGAACATTGCGGATGACTTGCAAGGATACTCAGACAGCACTGGTTTGCCGGAAAGGCTGCGACGTTGTGCTTGGATACTGGTCGTTGAGTTGATACAGCATGTGCCATGAGTTTAAACATGCTCTTTAAATGAGTTGCATCTACTTGACCCACAGAAATATGTTGACAGATTTTGAGATGCAGTTTTCCACGTCACCTGAATACAGTGCTTGTATGTTGCAGGTGAACTACATGTAGCTGGTCTTCCAGGCTCACTGAGAGATTCCCTTGTTGAAGTGCGATCTCTGGTGAGACTTGGGAATGTGTTTTCAGCTACACAAGGGTTGTGCCATTTTATCAAATATGATTCTCCTGATTCCTGACAAGCAGGCTCTTGCAAAAGTACTCATAACTGGGACAGTTTCAAGCGTTGTTTACAGGTTATGATGCACCTTTCTTGTCGCAGGCACAGAACAAATTGATTCAAGCTGATGGATTGTTTGCTTTGCAGGTTGATGATCCATCCTCCTTCATTGAATCATTCCTAACAAATCTTCTACTGGGGGATGTCACCAGACCCGACGAGATAATCAGTACTCGAGTCAAGGACAAGATTGTTCTCCTAGACAATCCCGCACTTGGCAAAAGCAGGAGGGACCGAGATGCACAAAGCCGGACGGTCCGATGTCTGAAGCACATGAGCCTAAGGGAGCACCGGCGAAATGGGACATTCAAGATCCCACCCGAGCTCCAACGGTGAGCTCCAAACTTTGAGATCGAGCTGTTGTAAGGTCATAGTACGATACTTAAGCCCCGTTCTTGTTTCTCTACCAACAAGGCTCCTGATTTGTGTGCCAGCCTGCCAAGCCATCAGTCGACTCTGCCAAGAACCTCAGTGCACATGGACCCCCGATCACTGGCCCCTTTACCCAACTAGGAATAGACTCTGACTTGAGAAGCATGGTTGCTGTTGGCGTCAGCTGCCAAATCTGGCCGACTAGGCAACCCTGACTTCGACTTGGGTAATGTCTTGTCGGCCGGACAAGTGTCCTGTGCCATGGAGGAGATCTGGTTCTGCCGAGTTGAGGTACCAGCAACGGCACTAACTTGTGATGTCCCTCACAATCTTTTTGCCCTGGTTTAGATTTTAAGAGATTGGTCATCCATCTTTTTCTGGCACTGAAAACTCGCTGATCCTGATGGATCTGGCTTCCCTGTAACAACACCCGTTCATTTGTATGTCACTTCCGTAACGACTTGCTTGAGAGGTCCTTCCCAACCGCGCTCATGTGTGTTGTCGTCATTTTGACTGAATTGCTAACTCGGACGGCTCCTCTAAATGCAGATTTGAACTGTACGAGCCTTTACAGGCTATCTGGCAGGAGTACATCCTGAAGCTAACGCAAGGATGCGGGTGAGCACTCAACTGCAATCTGATAGTCCCTTCAACCAACTTGAAGTTGCCTGGAAACCGTCAGGTTTGCGGGGCAGATGAGAAAGGCTCAGATCAGCGAAGCAGCTATGCTGGCAGCGCTTATCCTGCAGACAGGAGACCGAGTACTGGCAAACTTTCAAGTTCGCCTTTGCCTGCTGCAGGCACTACCTCGTGGTCTTTTTCCTGACCAGCTAAGGTCGGAGGGTTGGCAAAGCATTCGGAGCTCAAAAAGTTCAATTTTGATATGCTGCGTTTCAAGTACTTCGTCAGCTCAGTCAGGCTTTTGAGAGATCAGGAGTCGGCCGTTTCTCTCGAGAGGCTGTCGAAACTCCATATCATTTGCAATCACTTTTTCCACTCATAATCTGGATCCAGCCGAAGCAGAGCTGGCAGAGTCAGAGAGCCGTTTTGTGCGACCAGGTCAGGTGAAAGCCTTGAAACATATCCAGCATTTTCCCGTTTCATCGTCGTCCCTCAAGATTTTGCGAACAAATGCTTTGAGGTGAGGGCTCCAGGGAAGCTGACGTGGCATCTATTGTCCTTTGCAGCGGCCAGGCACTCATGTCCCGCCTGCTCACAGCCGACTACCATGGTGCGTTCCTGTCCGGTAAGTCGCGCAGCCGTTGTATCTAAAACTTGAGTCCTTTTGTGCCGCTTGCTCTTGGATGAAGTCGTTATCGAAAGTAACGAAAGTAGTGCTTGTGGCAATAGCGCTCAATCCGTGTTATACTTGATGTTGGAACCTGCAGAGTCACGGAGAGCGTCCATCAGACTTCCGCATTGTTCTCTGCTCCGGAGATGAGGCTCGCATCTTTGTCAAAGTAAAGCGCAAACTCGTGGTGAGGCGAGTCAGCCGTCTGGCAGGAAGACTTTAGCTGCGCACTAATGTTGTGCTGTCCATATCTTAACAGTCAGCGCGTCCAAGGATCCGACGTACATTGGAACTGAGGGCCTGATCGTGCGGGAGACGCAAAACACGTTCCAGATGGTAACGACCCAGAATCGTCTGCAAGGTGAGCGTTGCCATCAATCCGCCTGCCTTAGCTGATTTTTGTTGCCGGAAAATAGCCAAGAGCGTGCGGAAGAAAAAGAACGAGAAAGGTTCTGAAAATCATCTTTGCAAAGATCCGCATTGCCGTTCTTGAGACACTCGAGGCTCGTTCTCAAAACAGAACGGCTTCAGAAAAGCTCAAGGGCGTGGTTTGGCTGAGGCGTCCTTCTGTTGATTTCAGTTACGCTCCCTTGAGCACGATGTAGGCAGTGAGAAACAATCACATTGATCACCAAGAGAACAATGACTGCATCAATACCCGGAGCATGATGTGTCAAGTTTCGGTGATCCACCCGCCGCTGATTATTAGGCTTGCTCTGGTTGGCTCTTTGACGCATGCTGTTGCCGTCAGCTCAATCCAATCCCTTTTCCTTCTTTTCCTGTTCTTTCCGAATGCCTACCGACGAAGATTGTTTCTTTATGCAGTGGTCCCTAAGCGAGGGTCCATCTTCCAGATGAAGCTGGGGAACAATTTAGTGAGCCTGTTTGGTAATCAGATTGTGGAAGAAAGGGAGTTCACGCAGTCTGGTAAACGGACGCCAAAAAGTAAGAGTGCTCTGCCAACAATCGAGCTTTGAGAATCTGGTAAATAATATAGTAATTTGGTAATCTGTTCGTTCATCTCATGGCAGAACCCATATTACAACAGCGCAGCTTACAATGGTCGCGGCCTCGGCACTGATGTAAAGTGCTTGATGCCCTATGTCTGAATCATGCAGCCGATTGATACATGCTCGGGCCCCTTAACCTCGCACCCAAGTTGTTGCACGCCCAATCTGCAGATGCATTATGGGCGCAGACTTGGAAGGGATTCGACGAATTCACATATACCACGCCTTAAACAGATTATGGGGTTGAAGTCTGTTGAAAACAACTACTTGGGAATTTAGGGCCGGGCCCGAGCCTTTTCATTTAGCCCAATAATAAACTTGGGACCTCCTACAACGGCGGATATTGGCCGTCTACGCCGCGATCATGCCCAATCAAGCCTAAAGACTTAACGCAGTTTCATGCAATCGACGACCACTGCCACTCTTAGTATGTCTGCATATATAATCATGTACGCGAGCCCATGGAGCCGGTTACCCTATATTGCCACGGGGGCCGCGGTGGACCTGCAGTCGTTTGGCATACATAGCTGTCAGTGCGCCGCGCCGCGGCCTGGCATGCACCCGCGGGCGCAACTTAAGGCATGCACGCACATCGCTAGGCAATCGATTGACAGATCATAATGCCGCCATATAATCAACGTCATTGCGTGCGCATTTGGCATGCAGCGTGATGGTCCGACGCATTGGCGCGTGCACATGTGCTTTCGCCGGGCGCGTACGATAATTCGATCTGCATTTGCATATCCGGACAGCCTCGGACGACTAAGTACGTCGACCTTGTTTACTGAGATCGCCAATGCTACAAAGCTGCTCACTGTGTCGCAGTCGGGCACCTAATGATTTCCTGAGTTCTGCCCAATCTGGTCTTTGACAATGTTGTCTCCAAACTAGCCGGACCTTCGGAGTCTTGCTAGAGCCACACAACGTCTGCTGAGTCCAGATTCGAGAAGGGATCGTCAGACGAAGTCGCACGGATGTCAGCCAGCGTGGACAAACTGCGTCATGCTGAACGGCGCACAATAGGATATGGATCAACTACTGAGACGCGGCCCTGGTATCTGCTGAATGGGAGCCTTGCATCTTCAAACGGTGCAGGTAAGTGAAGCACTGACCCAGGCAGTATCCTGGCAGTATCTTACAGCTAGTCAAATTGGCACGACTCCCTTCCCTGCCGGTATAGTGCTCGTTAAGCAGTTATCAGAGGGAGCCACTTATATGTACAGACGGTTCCAGGAATCTCCGCATGACGCTCAGGAAAAGACGAGTGTTGCATGGGAAGCGACGGCTGTATGTTCTACTTTACATTAGCTTGTTTCGTCTGTCTTGTGCTCCAACAGGGCAAAGGCGCTCTCCAGTTCCTCGTCACTGGCAAAGTCCTGCACGGCAATCTGAACAAAACAGGGACGTCACTCGTATGCAAAACGTTATGCTTGTGTCCTTGCATGCCGGGAAATCACAGCGAGAATGATCACAACGCTAGCGACGAACTCTCGCTAATCTACCTAGACAGAGAACGATGCAAGAAAGGAGAAAAGGTCGGGAGTTGTCAAAGACACCTGCAGCAAATTTGTTCAGGAAGCAAACGGACGCTCTTACCCAGTTGTCGGAACTTTGTACGAGCTTGAGCGTTGCCGATTGGTTGGCCCTCGTGGGGCTCTGTCGAAGAACGCTCGTCACCTTTGCATGCTCGAGAGTGAACTGCAGATCGGAAGGGCAGAGACTAAGTATGAAAAGTACACAGATGCTCGTCGCTTTTGCTAGAGACAGGGAATGAAGAACCTTAATAAGTAGCCAAGGCACGAAAGAATGGCTTGTGGCCGCCGGAAGGCGAGTTGTAGAGACGAAGATGCTAGCAAGGCACCAAAAAACTTGGTGATTGATCTCTGTTGCGCTCCTGCGGGACAGCCGTTGGGCGGGGCGTGAATGTCTCCTGTCAGAAACTCTGCTTCGTACGTCATAACAATGCTTAGCCTTCGTCTACAGAAGGATTCAGTGAAGAAGCTCATTGGAACGCTTTGCGTGTATTAGATCCAGGTTTGAAAGTTTTGCAGTCGCACCATCTGAGACAATCTTCCCAACAAGAGATTCACCCTGAAAGACTCGCTCAAGCAGCCCGATTCGTCAAGGGAGTTCGTAATTGATTCCGCCGGATGAACGCAGAAACCAGAAAACCTGTAGGGACTGATTGTTTCCTGACTTTTCAAAAAGTTGCTTGAGCCGTGGCTCCATAGAAAGGCGGCTCGAACCGGGAAGTCGAATCGCAAGAAGAAAATGTTCAGCACAAAACGCCTTACCGCAGTTTCAGTTTCGCCGTCCGAGGTCGAGAGGAAGCACGTGTGCTTTTCCGTTATGTACAGGGTCCCTCGGTACGTCTTCACGAGTTCGGGGGTGTAGCCGTTGTGCAAACACCGGTACGTTTGCACCAGTGTACAGGCAAACGCTGCGGAGAGATGAACCACGAAACTGAGACAGGTGGCGTATACTTTCCTCTTTCTTAGCCGTTGATAGTGATCTGTTTTGACGTGTGCGGTTGCTTGAGGCGCCGGTAGTGCCATCTCGCATGGCATAAGTATTAAGTAGCTGCACCGAATGAGTGGGGGTTGGACGCTCAGTTACGAACGGGACGAGCTTTACAGGCAAACCCCTGATTCTGATGGGTCGTTTCTCAACCCGAAGTCAGATCGACCACTCGTATTGCATGTTGAGCTTTTCGAACAGCGAAAGCGTTTGGCTGCTTAAAGCATTGCGGATGAACCGTGTAGTTTTGACACTTGATGGAAGACTGTGAAACAGTCTTTACTTGAATCCTCATGGAAAAAAGCATCGCACACAGACTTGCAGGAGTCCCCGTTTGTGACAAAATCTAGAATCCAGCTCTTCCAAGAACAACAGAGTTGGAAGCCCTTTGGCTTATAGAAGCAGAAAGCCAACGGGCTGCGCAAAGAAAGCCCTCGAAGCCCCCCTTTCTTTGACCCTTCAAAATACTCCCTCCCAGTCGCTAATGATCAATCACCTCCATCACAACGGTTTTCCTTCTCCTTCAACAAGCATCGCCTTACTTTCTCCAGTTGGGACATGGTTGCTCCACTCTCAAATCCATCTTTCCTTACATGATGCGCTGTTGCTCTTATGATACGCTGTTGCCCTTATGCTCACCCTCGATCAGATTCTCCTCAGCGCCCAGACCAAACGTGCTTTGCAGGTTGACCTCCTGCGCAACCTGCGGAGCCGCGTCGAGTGTCCGGCTGTCTGCAAGATTTATCTGGGACTCTGTGCCGGCGGGGGGATCCAGGTTGGTCCACCAAGTCGACAACTTGCCCCCAAGCTGCAGAAAAAGTGTTCGGTGCTTTCCTGGTGCTTTGTCAAGATTTGAAAAGTAGAGATACAAAATCAAGGGTCCTAGACTTACTACTTCCGAAAACGATTCGGGCTGTTTGAGATTCAAAGCTAGCATGCTTTTTGGAACCACAGGAAGATGCACTTAGAAAAATTCTCTTGCATGTCAAAAGATTTCACAAAAGTGCTGACTTCCGGCTACCTCTCTCAGACCCTGCGCGCTTTTCAAACGCCTCCTTTCAGATTCCACTAGCAATCTCTGCTTACAATCCCAGAGCATACTACGAAGGCGCTTTCCACAGTTACTCCCAAAATTCCGCAATCTCCTCTTACAGACTGTTTAAAGCAGTGTTAATGCATACCTGTGAGACGGCTGCCGCAGCTTTTTGAGCAGCTTGTTGGGCCGCCAGGCTGGCCTCTTTCAGAGCCTCTTCTGCGGGGTTTGGCTGCATTTGGAGAAGAGGGGACTCGTAGTATGAAGAAGATATCGGGAATTGCTGTATTGCATAGCACAAAAGTAACAACGAACATAGTCTAAACGAGTTTTCTAGCAGCTTTTCAGCAGGATCAGGCTGCAAACCAAACTGACGAATACATAGCTTGTGTCTCTGCTACGATATAAAGTAATCTAGTAAAGCACAGTGGCACGATATAAGGAAGGAAGCTATCAATGACTTATGGCATTGGTTTTGATTAAGTTGTAACCCAACGTGAGGTGGGACATTGTTGGAGATAACCTAGGCCGGTGATGTTACTTTTCATTCGTTGAATTGAAGATACGTCCCCTGGATTGATGATATGTTCTGCTTTTCAAGACCTAAGAGGACTGAAACTTTGGTGTGTCCGATGCTGAAAATGAGGAATGCGTCCAGTACTTTCATGACATAGACTAGACTGTGATTGCCGCTAGCCGCAAGATCATTCAGGAGTCTGAGCAGATTCCTTATTGGTCATGACTGGGGCGAAAGTGAAGGAGTCAAGGAACGAGCAGGTACTCGTTGCTGATGTGACCTGCGTTGGATTGACCAGTCTTACGCTAAGAAAAGGCACAGCATTAAGCAGCCCAAGGCACGAAATGTGCACAAGAGCGTTTGTAGAGGGCACACACTCGCTCACAATTGGCAGCAAATCACCGCACCTTCAATGTAAACATTGATAAAAGCTGACACCATTTCAGATACCAATGCATTGAATGCTCTAAAAATTCTGTGGAATGCAGACACATACCTCATCATCTGGAAAATTAGCTTCCTTCCTGTTCGTCTTCTCCGGACCCCCATCAGGCTCAGCGTCCGATTTGTTCACCAATACAGGCGGCTCCGTCAGGGAGTTTTCCTCTTTCTTTTGGCCAGCCGCCTCATACTTGTTTGCGATTTCGAGCATGCTCAGGCCGCCAAACTCCATTCGCAGAACAGGAGATAGATGCTGAGAGGCACGTGGCTACATGAGCAGAATTGCTTCGTTGGCTCAAAAGGTTCGGATGAAGATGCTCCCGAGCGCCCGCAGCCTTGTGCATGTAAGACTTAAAGAATGCTGAGGAGGGCGCTTCTGCCAACAACTTCTGAAGATTACAACAAGAATAATTTGCAAACTTCATCTCTACATATTGCAGAAGTTATTTGCATACAGGAGGTCAGTGGGTGTTTGGCCGTCAGAATAGACGGCAGGCAGGGATTTTCCAACTCACCAACAGGCGAACGGCACATCCTAATGTCAT